AGGAAAAGAATTTGTTACAGATGTGGGAGACACTGGCCACCAAGGAAAAGAGAAAAAAGAGAAAAAAAAAACAAACAAACAAAAAAAAGATACTTTCTTTCTGAAACCTTTCTGAAACAACTGCAGTTTTGAGAGAAAAGCAAACAGGAGGACCTCCCTGAAATAGAAGAAAACCTTAATCGGGTATATCTGGGAGTACGGGCATCTGAAGTTCCAGGTAAGGCGAAAAATGCTTTGCTTGTTAAAAGTGGAAATAAAAAGGGGGAGGGCTGCCCAATTAGAATAAAACAATATCCCTTAAAATTAGAAGATCAAAAGGAATCAAAAAATCATTGATAAAACTTAAAATATAGATTACTAATTGAATGTGAATTGGAATATAATACTCCTATCTGGACAGTAAGGAAATATGGTGGGAACAGTTGCAGATTGGCTCAAGATCTCAGAGCAATCAACAAAATTGCAGAGGATATTTGTCCAGTAGTAGCTAATTCATATGACTTATTGACAGAATTGAATAATGATCAGAAATGGTGGGCTATCTTGGATTTAAGGGACTCTTTTGCTTGCCATTGGCCAAAGAAAGCCAGAATTACTTGCTTTCAAATGGGAAAATCCTGACACCAGAAGGGAAACTCTGTTAACTCGGAGGGTATTACCTAAAGGGTTTAAAAACAGTCCAACGATTTTTGGAAATCAGTTAGCACTGGTACTAGAATCATGGAAGCCACCTACTCAGGACTCTGTTACAGTATGTGAATGACCTATTAATTGCCACAGAAACAAAGGAAGAATATCTTCAGTTGATGGTGGAATTACTCAGTTTTCTGGGACTGAATGGTTATCGGGTATGCAAACAATAGGCCCAACTAATCCAAACCCGAGTTTCCTACCTAGGATATGAAATAACAGGAAGACAGAGAACTTGGAACTGCTAGAAAAGAAGCCATTTGTCAGATACCACGACTGTCCACCGCCAAGGAGCTCTGGACGCTCGTGGGAATAACTGGATGGTACAGACTTTGGATCCATGATTCTGGTGTTCTGGAAGGATCGACAGAACCACTAACACACAACTGCTTGGTCACTGTAGAGACTGTATATTCGAGCTGACCAGATTTGAAAGAAAAACCTCTGGAAGATGCTGATTCTTGGTTTTCTGATGGTTGTAGCTTCATGAAAAATGGTGAACGAAAGGCAGGATATGCCATTACCACCACTTCACAGGTAATAGAAGCTGAACCTTTACCTGCAAACACCTCTGCCCAGAAGGCAGAAATAATAGCGGTAACAAGGGCCCTGGAATTGGCTAAAGATAAAAGGGTAAATATTTGGACTGGTTCTAAATACGCATTTGGTGTGGCCCATGCACATGGTGCTATCTGGAAAGAAGGAGGCCTTCGGAACACACACAGGAAACAGGTCACCATTCAAATTGCAATCACACTATTAATATAGATGGTATCGTAGTTCAGTGGTGGCCCATTCCCAAAGGGAAAGGATGGTATTGGTTATGTGGAGAAAATGCTTATAAGAGTCTACCCCCCAACTGGAAGGGGGCATGCACTTTAGGTGCTGTGATACCCAATCTAACTATTATTGACACCAATCCTTCTGGGACCTGGATCAGAAGTTTTTCTAAATGGATTAGGTGAGGGCTTAACCCTATTATTGAACGGCACACCGCACTTCATAACTTTGTAAGAGGGCTAATTCCATCTTTGGGAGTAAGTGAATTAGAGAAGGCAACTGTAAATATCACAGCAACCATAGAGAAAATGGAAAGGACAAACATTGATATAATCCAGGCAGAACAACAAGAGATAACCAGCCTAGCTAAGGTGGTATTACAAAACCGAATGGCTCTAGACATGTTACTGGAATCATAAGGAGGGGTTTGTTCCGTAATCAATGAAAGTTGTTGTTCCTATATAGACTGAAGTGGCAGAATTGAAACAGATATGGATGAAATTTGGAAACAAACTAAGATATCTCATGAAACGGCCATGGATGATACCTCCTGGGGTTTTGAAGAAATATGGAAAAAGTTAACTCTGTGTTTACCTAAACTCTCCTGGTTGAGGCAACTGGTTGCAAGAGTACTGATGTTAACTGTGGTATGATACAATGTTCCTTCTGGTATTGTAAATGATCTATGATAAGTTCTGAAGACTGGAAAAGGAATGAAATCAAGCACCAAGTGGAGATGGGAGATGATTTCAAAAAGACTTTAGACGGTAATGGTAATATATAAAATATTGCAAAAGGACAGAAAAACGGGGGATTTGAGACAAGGGGGGGGCACAAAATTACAAAATGGAATATATAAACCTTTATAATCAGTTTTAAGTAATGTTAAGTTTGATGGCTTTGTAACAGTAACAATGGAAAATTACTGAGGTGCATGATACATAGAAAAAGGAAAAACAGAGTACAGTACAAGATAAGCCATTGTAGTTGACACCGTCTTAGGCTCTATGACCTTAGTACAAAATGAATGTAAGAAAAACAGTCCAGAAGAACAGGATGCAAGGATAAGAAGTATCTGGGAATGGCAGGTGTCCAGGATGGGCTGCAGTTAAACTAACTGATAAGTAGGAGGATAGGAGGATTATGTCGTCTCTGGTGCTAACAAACCAATTAAGCTGGTGTAAGCATCTCGTGCGCATGCTTCAGATGCTGCCAGAAGTGATGAAGATTGTTGGAAGAAGTAAATGACCCTCAGAGACCACCACCACAATACTGTACACATGCCAGAACTTTCTGGAAAATAATGTAAGCCATGCATAGCCTCATGAACATGGATGTTTGCCCAGGGACTATGTAAGTATGACTTGTGCAGCAATATGGGGAGACACGTTAGGAGGACTGTCCCCTGTGTCTCCCGGTGCTGCAATAAATACCTGCTTGTCAGCTTGAAAACTCTGTTGGCAAGTCTGTTCCTGGAGTTTTCTCTGAACCAAACTGAAGCAAAGAGGCAGAACCTGCCCAGGCTGAGCCAGGTGCCGGTCGCGGGCCCACGGGAACAGTCTGCCTGTCTCACAGCACAGCCAGCCTCCTGCCAGCACAGCTGCACAAGTCCTGATGGCATCCTGGCTTCCTGCGCAGCTGGCTTCAAGTCAGGCACTCCTCAAGAAATGCAGATCCCAAAATTAAACTAGAGAAAGTGGTTCCAATTTATCTTATACTTCCAGACAGGCAGAGTCCTGCAGGTAGGGTGTGCTGCCTCTGCGTGCTGACAGGCCTGCAGCAAACGGCACAGAGGAGCAGGTGAGAGCAGAGCTACAGAGAGCACTTCAGCACCACCCTGCAGACAGCAAGAGGCCTGGAGGTGGCTTGACATTCCATCCAACCCAAAGGAAGCCACCAGATCAAGCCTCAGACGTGACTAGTTAACAGCAGCAGGAATGGCTCAAGGCTCCCAATGGGCACACATACACAGCATGACTCCATGGATCATCATTCTACAAGACACATCTGCTAACTCACTTGACAGAGCCTCTGCACCCATCTCTTGCAACACACTCATGTTAAGCAGCACTTACCAGCACTCGGACTTTGCTCTCCATGCCATGGGGCATGTGCTGGGCTCTCAGAAGTCTTTACCCAAACGTGTAACAACCGTTGTAGAAGCACAACTCAGAGCTGTGAATTACTTTTCCAGCAGCAGTGTCTGCTGGTGAATGAAGGGGTTAGCACACAAACAGTCATTTAAGGACTTTGGTGCAGTCAGACTTGTATCTCCCACAACTGTTTTTGCAGATCCTCCATCTGACATGATCACCTCTACAGTGATAGCCAGGACAGTGACAACACCAGTCCCTTCAGCCCTAGGTGAGGACACTACATACACAGGACAACATAGAAGCTGGGATTTTTACCAGTATCATCCAGCATAGACACGATAAGCCGTGAACTCAGAAGACAAGTCAGGACAAATGAAACCCCTGTCCTTTTCAGTACTAGGGTATCACATGAGAACTCAGAGGAAGGGAAGTAAGAAGCACCATATCTCTTACCATTATACATGACTTTCATTCAGAAACTGGTAGCTGAAAGCCCACAACATGTCATTTCACTTGCTTCACGGCTCTGCTCATCAAGACATGGCTGATGCTCAGGGTAAACACATACCTTCCCAGTGCCCTACCAGCAGCCTCCTGTGAGGAATCCAACAGCTACAAGAGGCAGGACAGTGGGGCTGGAGATTGGAGACAAGGCTTAATACAAAACACCTCAGCACTCCAAACATTTATTTCCCAATAACAGTGTTCAAACCCTCAGAGAATACATCCCTATCTCATCTAGCCAGCACTTAGTTTGCCCCTGACACACTTCCACAGCAAGTTTCACACTCAAGATGCACAGCCATTCTTCTCAGGGTAGGAAGACACTTAATCCCAACAATCCAGTGCCTTCTGACACTGCTGTGGCAGTGAAGCAGGACTGAAGCCCTGGCTTTGCTTTGGCACCCTTGGGAGAAGCTCAGTAATTTGCAAACACCCAGGTGGTACAGAGTTCAAGTTTGCTCTTCAACCAGTTTACAACTTCAGGCTATTTGCCCACACGCAGAACTTGCATCCTTGCTTTAACAAGCAGCAGCAGAGCGTGGCTGCACCTACCTAAGCATCACTGCAGTGGAGACAAACCCCAGAACCCCAGGCCTAGAAGCTTGAGGAGCCATCACAAAGGTAACCTGGCACTCACATCAGAAGAGCTTCACACCTTCTCCTCCTCCCCTGGGGAGGTTTTTGGGGCTGGAAATAGGGCCTCACAGAATAGTTTTTACATGGAGCGAGCATCCGTGCAGGCGCAGTCCAGGGAATTCAACGCAGAGGTGTTTACTGCACAGGGTCATTGCAAGCGGCACCAGCCATGGGAGCCGACCCTGGGGGTCACCCAGTTCCAGCCCTGCCAGGGCAGGGGCACTTGAATGTGTCCAGGCAGGGCTTGGATTTGCCCACAGGGGGAGCCTCCACATCCCCCTGCGCGGCCTGTTCAGTGCTCTGCCACTGCAACGGAACAAGTTCTTCCTTGTGTTGAGGTCAAACCTCTTGTGTTTCAGTTCATGGCTACTGCTCCTCATCCTGGGGCTGCCCACCACTGAAAGGAGTCAGGCACCTTCCTGCTGGCACCTGAACCAAACCTCCAATCCGCTCCCTCCACCGGCTCTCCCCTTCTTTATCTCTGAGGGCTCACTCTCCTGGGAAGAAACTGCTTTCACCCTCCACATGCAAGGTGGTTAATGGGAGGGGGAGACACCGGGCTTTGCTCACAGAGTATCAGACCTCACTGCTCCCCACACTCACCCCACCTAGTGCCCCCCACCCCTGTGGGTCTGCTGGTGCTGGAAGAGCGCCGAGCTCACTCTGAAGCCCTTCCCGCACTCAGCACAGACGTAGGGACGCTCCCCAGTGTGGATGCGTTGGTGCCGGATGAGGTGGGGACTCTGCCGAAAGCTGTCCCCGCAGTAGGTGCAGATGTAGGGCCTCTCCCCGGTGTGGATCAGCCGGTGATTCAAGAACGCGTAGCTCCGGTCGAAGCTCTTCCCACAGTCCATACACTCATAGGGTTTCTCCCTGGTGTGGACCTGTTGGTGTTCTGCCAGGGTTGAGCTCAAGCTGAAGCTCTTCCCGCAGCGCCTGCACTCGTAGGATTTCTTCACAGTGTGCACCCACTGATGCTGGACAAGTTTCGACTTCACAGAGAAGCTCTTCCCACATTCGGCACACTTGTAGGGCTTCTCCCTGATGTGGGTTAACTGGTGCCGGATCAGGTTCGAGCTTACGCTGAAGCTCCTCCCGCAGGTCCTGCACACGTAGGGTTTCTCCCCAGTGTGCACCCGCTGGTGCACGACGAGCTGCGAGTTCTCGGAGAACGTCTTCCCGCACTCGGCACAGTTGTAGGGCTTCTCCCCAGTGTGGGTTAACTGGTGATGGATCAGCCTCGAGCTCACACTGAAGCTCTTTCCGCAGGTCCTGCACTCGTAGGGCTTCTCCCCAGTGTGTACCCGCTGGTGTTGTTTCAGAGCTGAGCTCACGCTGAAGCTCTTCCCACAGGTGCTGCACTCGTAGGGTCTCTCCCCAGTGTGCACCCGCTGGTGCAGGACAAGCTGAGAGTTCTTGGAGAAGCTCTTCCCACACTCGGCACACCTGTAGGGCTTCTCCCCAGTGTGGGTCACCTGGTGCCGGATCAGCTTCAAGCTCTCTCCGAAGCTCTTCCCACACTCAGAGCACGTATAGAGCTGCTCCCCTGTGTGGATCCTCTGGTGATGTATGAGATGTGACCGGTGCTGGAAACTCTTCCCACATTCAGTGTGGATTCTCTGATGCTGGATGAGGTTGGAGCTCACCTGGAAGCTCTTGGATCTCTGAATCCTTTCTGAACTGTGTGGGAGAACAGGGTCCTGTGCAGGACTCTGGGAACTGTGCTCCTCGGACAGTCCTGAGCATAAACCCTTGGGCTCCACTGGCCTGGGGATGCCTTGATGGTCATTGTCTTCATTCATTCTCACAATCCCGTTTTCAGCTGCAATAAAATGAGAATCAAGAGAAGTCACAGGCAGGACTGGAAGCTTTGGACAGGGCAAATCCCAAGGGGCTAAATGCTAAAAATTCAGCAGATAGATTGACTTTAAGTATAAAACATTCTGGTATATCCTGCGTTCAGGACATGGTATTTCCCTCCAAACTACACAGTGGAATTTTCAGTGTGTTCCCAGGAGCAAATGCTGTAAATCGCTCAGCATGCTTCACCAGAACCTGAATCTACTGAAATCACTGGCATATTAGAGGCAAAAGTTTACTGCTTATATGGGAAAGATGCTTGGTCTTCCAGGATGTTCTACCTGAAAATCATAGAACCACAGGGCGTTTTACCTGGAATGGACCTTACAGATCACATCCAATTCCAGCCTCCTGCCATGTGCAGGGACACCTTGCACAAGACCAGGTTGCTGCAAGCCCCTTCCAACCTGGCCTTGAACACTGCCAGGGATGGGGCAGCCACAGCTCCTCTGGGCAACCTGTGCCAGAGCCTCAGCACCCTCACAAGGAAGAACTTCTTTCACCTTATCTACATCTCCCCTCTGTCAGTTCTGCCTTCTCCTGTTCCTACTTGCTCTTGTGAAAACAAGAACAAGCCCAGCTCTCTCTGCTTGTTTCCATAGGATGTTACTAAAAGGTGAACTGGGAATCAGAGGAAGGCTATAAACAATGTGACATGGACACCGCCTGGAGCCTGGCTTATGCCACCCTTAGAGCAGAAGCAAATTAACTTTATGCTTTCACTGGTGCAGAACAAATCCGTTGTGCATGCAAGTGGTGGGTGAACTGAAGATCCCCCATGGCTGGTTCCAGATCATGCACTGAGGAAATCCAATACATGTAGAAGATGAAGGTAGGTAAAAGTCGAATCAATGCTAGCTGAACAGTTATGAACTGCTCCTGGGACACACGCAATGAACAGATCCCTGCCCTCTTATGTACATAAAGTCTTGCAGAAGCGTTACTGGTATGAATGTTCACTGCGCAGACCCGAGGTCACCTGAAAGCCTGATCAAGACAAAGGGCTTGTGCTGATTCCTTGTGCTGACCTTGAAAAATCCTTCACAAGCTCGTGACAATTAAGTTTTCTATGGTGTTCTATACTTTTGGAGGAAGATCAGGAGTGTCAGACATCTTTTTACAATTACTGTCACAGCTCTAGCGCTTCTACAATCATTTCTGTTACTTCTGAGCTACTAGGTACCTTCACTGGCACCTAGGACATGCTGTCTGCAAAGGCTTTGATCAAAACGAAGGCAGGAACTCACTGGGAGTATTTCAAGTGGAAGGAGAGCAAGGTCACAATGATGAGGATTTAATATTAGAAGCATAAGCCTGAACTGGCAAAAATGAGTAGAGCAACAGAGACACAAAGAATGTGGCTCTTCCTCAGCCCATGCCAGTTTAGGTTGATGGCAAGCCCTCTGATATGCCCAAGACTGCCAGTCCTATAGCTACAAGGCAAGCTGCAAGTAAGCAGATTAAAGGGAAATGTGGTCCAGAGGCATTCCTGAAAGACATTCATCCTTCACCAGAATTGCTAAAGAAGCTAAGCTGCTGAGGCATGAATGAACCTGACAGGGTGGTAAGGAAGGGAAAAGGGAGGTGCAAACATTTGCTGATGATTGTGTGCTCCTCGGGGTTAAAGACACAAAAGCTGACTACGAACTGTGGCAGAGCCTTGAGATACTGACCAACCAGGTGACAGGGGACGGTCACTGCAGGTAAACAAAGACCTTCAGAGGAGAACAGCCTCTACAGCTTGCACTTACACCAGGCTGGGCCTAGGATGTTCTCGATATCGTTCAGGAATAGCACCTTGGAGTCTGAGCAGCTGGATGAAAACTGCAGCTCCTAGGCACACAACACAGCCAGTCAAGCATCAATGAGTGCTGGGGGGAAAACAACAGGGAAGAAAAGAGAAGGAAATTCTGCCTTGCAGCTCAAACCCCACATTCTGACTGTGTGCAAGGGGGAGGACGGATCCCCCATGTCAGAGACACTCTGACAGAGCTGAGGAAGACAGAGGCATGACAGGAACCATCAGAGGCACAGAACAGATCCTGTATAGGAGAGGAGTCAACTGCCCATTCTGCTGGGAAAAGGTACAGCTGATAGGGGTATCACAGAGGACTATAAAAACACAAGTGGCCTGTGGGGGGGTTTGGCATCTATCCTGCACCATCTGTTCTAAATTAAGAACTCCTGCCAGCAGTAAAAGGCACTTTCAAAGCAAACTAAAGGAGGCAGCAATTCATAAATCACCTAAATAAGCTGGGGAACTCCTTGCTGCAAGCTGCCATGGATGCTACAATGTGCGCAGCTTGAGAAGGCAAGAAGAGAGATCTTGAGACGTTATGTGCCTAGTTCAGGAGCTTCTGAAGCCACAGACGCCTCAGGCCTGTGAAAGGATACAGGGACACATCACTGCTTGTCTGCCCTTCTCTGGGTCTTGATCAGGGGCTGGGCCTGCTGCCTGCTGTATGAGGAATGGCCGAGAGAGCTGGGCTTGTTCTGCCTAGAGAACAGAAGGCTCAGGGGAGACCTGATCACCACAGTCCAGTATTTAAGGGTGGCTATGAAGAAGATGGAGGCTCCCTTTTCACAAGGGGTCCCATGGAAAAGACGAGGGGTACAAGTTACCCCTGGGCAGATTCTGGTTGGACACAAGAGGAAAACTTTTCCCAGTGAGAACACCCAGCCATTGCAATAATCTCCCCAGGGAAAAGGTGCACTCCCCACTGTTGGATGCTTTAAAGACTCAGCTGGACAGGGCACTGGGACATCCAGTCCAGGTCATGCTTTGCCTGGAAAAGTTGTACTGGATGATCCTTGAGATCCCTCCCAGCCTGGTGGCCTGTGGTGCTATGAATACCGTTGTCACAGGCAGCAGGTGAAGCTGGACAGGCCCTGCTCCAACCCAGCACCGCCGCCCTTCTACATTCTGGGGGCGCTGGTGCTCCCGCAGCACTCTTTCTCATGACGGGTTCACACTCATGGCCCTTACCTGAGGTGCCGCTCAGAGCACTCTTCCCTTCGCAGGAGCGGGGACGGGACAACCGCAGTTCCTCCTTCTGATCCATGTGCATGAGCATCTCCGGCTCCGCTCCGGGGGCCTGCTCCGGGGAAAGAAACGAAGAGGGTCAGGCGAGCTGGCCTTTCACCGACCGCTACCAGCGGCGCGGCTCGGGAGCTAGCGGCTCCGCGCCGAGCAGGCACCCCGGCTCCAGGAGGCGTGCAGAGGAGAGCAAAGGGCCCCGCAGCACCCCCTGCCAGGGAAGCTCACGCGGCCGCGGTGGGCGGGCTTCCGGGCCAAGCCCTACCGGGTCAGGCCCCGCTCCCTGCGGCCCGGCCAGGCCCGCCCTCAGCGGCTGGACCGGCGCACCAGGGGGCGCTGCCTTCGCCTCCAAGGCCGGAGGAAGGTGGCGGCGCTGGGCTGCCGGTGGCGATGGTGCCGTCCTACGGCGAGGCTCCCCCCGCGGGCCTGTCGGTACCGAGGGATATAAGGAAAGCGAGTGCCTGGAAAACATAGGGTTAAAATACTTTTAGCTTAACTTAGGTCTAAGATGGAGAACAATGTTTGCGGTGTAAGTCTGTGGTGTCATAACAGAATTTAGTAGTCTTACTAACATGAGTGAACTATTTCTTACTGATGCGCAGATTGACTCCACAACTCGTTAAAGTTGTAAAGTAGGTATGCTTTTATTCAGCGCTGAGACTCACGGAGATAATTCCTCAAAGTCATGCGTGCCCCAGTGTTGTTTCCCTCTACATTTATAAGGTTGCACCATACGCCGTACCATACACATTCATGTCCTATCCCCGCTTCCTATTACAATGAGCTAGAAGGTCCTTTGCGCCTGCGCAGTGCCCCCTCTGGTCATGGGCAGGGGTCTCCAGATGAAGTAAATGAGTCTTCCTCCTGGGGGTTGGGGTCTTCAAGATGAAGTAAATGAGTCTTCTTGAATTTTTCACCTTTTTGTCTTCACGTATGGCCTTAGGGTTTGGTCCCAGCCATCAACCATCTGCTTCTCCCCCTTAACAGTAGATTCAGGGGTCTGCTTTTCCCTATCAATAGGTGCTTATCAGTAGAATCAGGTGTCTGCTTTTCCTTGTCAATAGAACCAAGTGTCTGCTTTTCCTTGTCAACAGAACCAAGTGTCTGCTTTTCCTTATCAATAGTTAGTGCCTTTGTTCTGCTTAGTAGGCATGATAGGTACAGACAATAGCTTTGCTTAAGCAATCGAATTCCTCTAACCCCGCTGTACAACCCCCCTGTAGAACCCCCGCTGTACATTGGTCAACCCTCTGCATCAATCCCCCCTTTTTCTATAAGGTGAGTAAATTCTTTTACTCTAGTTCCTTCTATCGATTTATGAAGTGATTTCAATATGCATTGTATTATGCAAGGTACAATCATTAAAATGAGTAATCCTATAGCTAAGATTAGAAGGTCTTGTTTAAGTATTTCCCTGAACCATCCCGTAACTCCTAGGTTATTTAGCCATTCATCCAATCTGCCTCCAACAATTCTAAGATCTTGCATATTTTCCTGCGATTTTCACAGCTTAGCATGAATTGATTCAGAATGGTCAGATAAATTTACGGAGCACGTACCTTTGAAATCCTCACAACCATCCTGCAACAATATCTTTGTTACCTCCCTGGCTTGTGCGCTTCCAGTTGGAAAGGCTTCTGGCCAACCTGAAAAGGTGTCTATCAGTACCAACAAATGTCTATACCCCTTTTTCTCCCCTTTTGAAAATTCTGTT